TGAAGAGGGACTGTCGGTCCTCCGCCTCATGTGGCCTTTTCTTTCTGGTTGCAGTTGTTGTCTGTGCTGTTGTGGTCAATCTGGCTGTCCTGTAGGCCGTCCTGTTGCTCTTTGGCCTGTCGGCGTCTTGATCTGATAGGCAGGGCCAGTACCACCAGGAGGCAGAGGATATGTAAGCAGTAGTACCAGGACCTGCAGAGACAACCAATTAGTCACATATGAGAATTTATTTAGCCTTAATAACTATTTCCACAACACAGCTCTGTGGCAAAGTAACCTTCATCTTTTATGAGTATGCCTGTCTAGCAGCCAATAGCTGATTAAACCGCAGTCCTCACACGAATGACACTGATCATTGTTGGCCTTTTATTTCATGTCAACAAACACACAAACCTGTAGAATTTTAGTGAGCGTCCCACAGCAAGTAGGACAAATGGTGCCACTGTGTAACTAATGGCAACCTGAGTCCATGCCCACGTGATGACATCATAGATGCGCTTGTACGAGTCGGAGACCATGAAGTGTGGTCTGATGTTGTGCCTTACCTGGAAAAAAACAAAAGAACATCATGTGAGTTCCCAACATTATTTTCATGTGACTGAATGTGCATTCTTCTTATTTAACTGTACAATAGACTTTAAATTAACCAATTATCCTGATTCCTGAAATCTTTCATGACAGCAGGCAATGGCATAGCTGCCTAGTTTTGCTTATAATCTGCTTAACGTTTCTCTTTTCTTCTTCTCTTTCTCGCTGTCCTTTTCCATCTCATAACTCTTCAGAGGAATCTATCTCTTGACATGTCTGTGTGGGCAGTGGCCAGTGGTTTTATAGAGAAACTGGGTCAGTCCTCCTTTGACTAAAAGAAGGATAAACTCACCTGCACAACACTTTTCTGTGCGGGCGTTTCAGTTAATCAACTTCGTAAATAGATTATCCCCCTGTAGCATCACTACAATGTCTCAACATAAATACCCTTCTTTCACAAGACTAAAGTGAAGAGGTCTGGCTTAGCACAGATTAGTGGTAAAGGCCTCACACTGAAACACAAGTGGCATACCAGGATACTTTATTATTATCCCCTTACTCCCCATAAAAGGATTGTGTTGTTTGTCTGTGGTTTAAGCTAAGTAGCATTGGCAAATCTAAAGAGCTCTAAGACAAAATGTCTATAATGACAGTAGGGTTCACTCCAAAGTGGGTGATTCATGACTCATGAGCTACAAGAGCATAATTATCCATATGGCTGAATCTGGCTGGGAAAACTACAACAATGGCTACTGTATAGACAGGAACTGTGGGTACTTACTGCACGAGCTGCCATGGTCATGGCAATGCCAGTGAGGAAGGTCAGGTAGTAGCCGGGGTAATACCCGTGCCACATGGCTGACAGCAGGAAGGTGGCCGCCATAGGGTTGAAGGGGCAGCGCTCATAGCACACCCTGGAAACAGGACACATATTAGGGGTTTAGTCAAAACATTTCAAATACAAATAAATGAAAGAGACCGGCCATCATAAGAAATAAAATGGAAATGAATAGTTGTCTTCAAATATGTATCACATTATAAAAAGAAATTTGTGTTTTTGTTGTTAGGATATATTTTATTTACAATGAACACAATTGGTTATCCTTTTTATTGTTTTTTTAATGGGTTTTGTTCTTGAATGAACTAATTCATGTTTTATGTATATGTATTAATAATGTATGTGAGTGTTTTAGTCTAGTATGCTTATAAGTCAAATGGCTATACTTCAGATATGCATCATACACCCTCTACAGCCAGGTCTTGCTCTCACACAAACTAAGCAGGGTACTTTATTACAACATTAATGATTTTACCTTTTGAGCCAAAGAGCTGTCTGGATATTCCAGTTGTCTAGGAACATCTTGAAACTGGTGGCAAACTGAAAGTAAACCACAAAATTAGTCTTTAGACTTAAGTAGAAAAAATGGCCATATGCTTTGTCTGATAAAAAGAGCCTAACCTCAATGTCCAGAATTCTGAGATTTGATATAAGGTCCCAGCGGGGGGAGCCATCTTTGTTGTATCCATTGAAACCGAATCCAGCAGCGTTATTGATAGCATCAGCTGCAGGAGAAAGTCACAAATGTTACTTCAACATTAAAAGATGACAACAGCTCCATATCCTTAGAAAGCATTAGTTTGTGAAGCAACAACAGAGAAAGATGGAGATCTGGCATCAACTGTTTCTGTCCTTTTAACAACTTTTTAGCTGAACACTAGATGGCACTGTTGTATCAAGAGATGCAGTTAAATAAGAGCCAGGGACTGTTTTAGGCTGCATCTCACATACTTTACAGACTACTTTAAAAATAACCAAGTTCAGGGAGTTCATGAAACCTCAATGGGCAGTAGCATTTAACAAAACCAAAAGATAACGCTGTATAAAATTTGTACCAGTCGAGCTATTAAAGGGAATGGAACATAGTGTTCATTCAAAGTTCATTATTTACAGAAAAAGACAGGGACACACAAAGGCCATCCAGGTACTTTAAGGTACTCAGGGTAACTCAAGGTCCCTCTTCCAGTTAAATTCACCAACAACCAAAAGAAAAGTATATCTTTTGTATGGAATTGGTGGTAGGAATAGTGCACTCCAGTGAGATATTCACATCAAACTCACCAAGTGTCCAGACAAAGTAGTACTTGGGCCTGAGAGCCAGCATGGCCAGGTAAAGATAGATGATCTGCAGATAGAAGGGCGTGGAGCTGACAAATTCATCGTCTATGGAGTGCTCCACAGGAAGCAGGTTGCACAGAGACAGATAGATGCCCAGCGAGATGGCACATGTGCACAGCTTGGAGATGACGTCATTCTGGGTGGAGGTGAGAGAGAAGAGTGGGATCAAGTAGCCCAGTTAAACAAAACCCATTACATCATATTGTATTCGGCTATCAATAATAAACACACTAGGAGAAGTGATACAAAAGTTAGTTACCTTGAGGTTAACTAAAGTCCTTGATAACTCTTAGTTTTATTCAAGAACGATTGTGTTCCTCTCAGTTTCATTCTAATTTACGATGAATAATTAAATTATGAATGCAGTACGCGATAAGAAAACAGAAATTGCTTTGAGGTTCAGACATTTGCATCACACTATTCAATAATGTGTCTGTTTCTCTAATGGGAACACGTGCCTTATAATTACCCGGCACACCTTGAAACAACTACACTGCTGTTTTGTTTTTTTAAACATAAACCACTAAAAAAATAATATCATAGTATAAAGTCCTGATTTGAAACATTATATCTGCTATTTCAATTATTCTCTTTGAGGGTTTATGATTAAGAAGGTTTTCACCTACCACAACACAACATGCAGGTGTGCTCTACTCCAATAAGTGTTTGAAGACTTTAAATAACGTTCGCATTTCTATTAAAGCGGTTAAACCTGTGTTGTACCTTGGGTGAGGGTTCTGTCTGCCTGTACTTTCCGTTCTCCTTGCCGTTGGCGTTCTCCTGGTGGCGTGGCTGGTAGCACGTTCCTTCGATGAAAGCCATGTAGTCGTTGTAAGAGCAGGAGGGCCCTGCCAGGATGCCCATGAAGTTACAGTTGTAGCTTAAGTACTCCAGCAAGCTGGGCATCCGTCTGAAAGGCCACAGGGAAGAGATAAAGCAGATTATAGAAAGAGAAAAACACATGTAAAGATGGCTTCCTGTCCACTAAGAAACCAGTATGGCCTCTTCTATTGAATTGTCCAGGAGGAGAGTGCTTTGACTGACTTTGAACCTTTTTGTGGTCTCTTACACTTCCTCCCTGAATTAAATCTGCTGGGTGAGGTAGTGGTCTAACTGCAACAAGAGCTCTTGTATCGACTGCTAATTTTTCCCCTTCCCAGTAGGTATCTGAAATGTAGCGGCTGACTCATAGTATGCCAGCGAAGGTTTACGAAACAAAGGTTTGGTGCCTCTTATCTGGGACCTTATTGGTACACTGGCTCATGCTATAATCTACGCATTTAGTGGGTTTCATTGTGTATATATATATAAAACTGTACTGAACCACTTTTTCAATTAATGTAAAGAAGCTGGTCCCGCTATCTTCTCCGTCTCTTATCTCTGTTCAGTTCATCTATGTCATCACATATTAACTCCCTGATAGCGTACAGTAGCAACTCATCTCCCCACTCACATCCTGCTTCATACACTCTTTGTACACCTCAGCTGTAGTGCCATCTGTAATAGTATCTGTGAGGGAGGGGAATCTGCCGTTGTAAATTAGGACAGATGGAGCGAAGGGCATTCCTACAATACAGTTCAGATGAGAGCAGTTCATGTTTGGTTTCCGAGATACCAATGCTCCAACAAATGCTTGACAACACCAGAGAGAGCCTGTGGTGATATCATATGCACAAAGCAATGACGCCTTTATTTTAAAAAGAGCATCATTTCTTTCAGACTGAGTTCATTAATAGATTTAAAACCATGTCAACTTTTCAGTTTGGCTTGATTTAATGAACCCATTATCTGAGGCAGTAAAAACATACCTGAGTCACATACCTGATAGCTAGGTATTTCTGACTGGGAGTCAGCTGTTTCTCAGGCTTGGTCAAACCTACACAGAAACACAAAAGGAAGAGATGTCAAATAAAAAAAACGTCATTCATTTGCATGTGAACCTGCAGAACATGCTCTAAAATGCAGCTTCATGCAATAGTAACAAGGGGTACGCCATTCATAGTTAGGACAAAGCACAGACTCTCAAACCCACGCGGTGCCAGAGGTTCCTCTCATTGGAGCACAGGATCAAATGCCAGGAAGGGCACATGGCCCTGTACTGTAAACAGGGCCATTCACAAAGAGAGGAAAATAAAGTATGAAGCATCTGGTTGTACTTTTGTGTTGCTTCCTTACTGACGAATACTCTAAGAGGGCAAATGCCATCTGAGAGCAATTAGTGGTTACTGAGATGTTTAGTTAGGGTCTGCTCTCTATTACTTGGCCAAACATTTTTGTGAAAATGTGAGGCCACTCTTATCCCAATCACATAAATGAAAAGATGAATTATGAATCTGCTTCACTTTGCCTTTAATAACTGCTGGAATATGGGCTAGTATTTGACTTTGTGGCAAACAGATATATGGCAAAATACTGTGCAGTATATGTGAATGTGTGTTTTACAGCAGGCAGGTATGAGTGTGCGACAGTGGATAAGGATAGGGATTACATTCTTAGTTTGTCATTAGACTCGCAGTTGTGAGTAGAAGCGGTGACCTGAACAGAATTCAAAACACTACTCTACTCTGCGCTGCCTACACATGCATGCACCCACCGACACGCACATCAATACATAACTTGCTGTAAGACTGCTGATTGTAATGAGGCTAGAATAGCCTGAGGGGACTTAAGTCTCCAAATGGAAACTAAAAGGCTTTGAGTGACTCGCATCTTTAAGCCTCTCTGATACTTGATCACACATAACATGTTTGTTTTAACCACAATGTCATTCTCTACCTTTTATTTATTGCTCATGAGCTCATTCTTGCAGATAAATGGTTCAAACATTGCTTTTTCAACATTATTCAGTCTAGCTCAAATCGTGTTTAGAGACAATAACCTGTTACAGAGAGAGCAGGGGGAGGTTTATGGGCGAGAGTGCATATTTGGTCATTGCTCCATTGCATAACTGTGTTTATGCTGTCTTGTTCACTAGTCCATTGTCAGAACTGGAACATGGCCATGTGACCTTTTTGGAAACTCGAAAGAGAAATAAACCGTTTTCACTTCTGTCACATGTTTTGCAAAGAGGATGCTCGCACACACAGACAAAGACAAAAGACACACACGCACACGCTTGTCTTACCGTCATGTATTTCAAACGCCAAGCTGGTAATCTTCTGTGTTATAACCATCATGGGCCTGATAAAAATCATCAAACAGAAATAGCCATGTAACTATAGAGAATTTCAAAACCACACAACAGGGTCACATTTTCTAATACAAGTATTTCTCACATGCTTAACCAAAAATGTTTTGTTTTTTTAAGTAAAGGAGAAGATGTCATGCTAAACTGTTGTTCCGTGATTAGGTTCTGCTAGCAAGGAATGTTTTTAGACGAAAGTTCATCCAAAATGGGAAGTCACAAGTATAATTGCAGACTTCCTTTTATTCTTTCTATTCCTCTTCTCTATTCCCAAGGTCTTATCATTCCTTTGACACTGAGCCCTCTTTCTCTTGACTTATTCAAGCCATACTCTATCAGAGACCTTTTAAAGTCGGCTCTCTTTTGCCCTAACCTTCCTTAAGACATGTACACTCTTTCTGTCCTTCAGCAAATACAGATTATTGACTAATTGCTTACATGAAAACGGTTGGTGGCAAGATAAAATGTAGTCAAAACAAGCCAACAGGCCAGATAAGTTCTGGTCTCTTGATAAAATAATAGGAATGTTTTTACTATCTGGTCTCGTCTTTCATTATAAGGTTCATGCTGACCTCAAGGAAAACGTGAATTTGACTTTTCAAAGGGATGTAAAGGGAATGGCAGACTAGGTTTTTAAAAGACTGAAATCTCTGCCCTCGCAGTATGGGTTTGCATTGGGTTGCTTAGCAACTAGCATCCCCCATCGTGGCGCGCTGGGAGTGCAGGCTGTCTGCTTAAATTGTCAGACAGTCTGGAGAAGTGGGAACCAACCACAAGAGTCGCTATCGACGTCCTCCTGCGGACACAGCAGAGTGACACGCTCTGGTTTCTGTTTGGCTCAGTCTGCTTGAGTCATATCCCATTATTTCCCCTGACTCTTACTGTTAACTTCTGGTTTTGTTTAGCTTTGTATTTCATATAGCATTCAACATAAATACCACTGGAGGTTTTTATAAAAATTAAAAAAAGATTTTAAAAAGTAATATAGTCTTAGTGAAGCTTACCCTGTGAAATCTGCAGAGTACATGCCATAGTCAAACACGTAGACACGAGTGATCTGACATACTATCAGATAACTAAGTGTCACAATGAAGCAGTACCTGTGCAGGAAAAGAAAGAAAAAGAGGAATTAGAGGAAGAAATTATTACACAGGTATGAAGGTAATTGCTTTTACAAAAATACAGAAATGTTGTGTTCAAAAGCCAAAAACATTTAAATGCATAAGTTCTAACATTCTAAACAATTGTATCTACACAGCAATATAGAGCTTTTAAGAAAGGGCATCTTAATGCACACATCGGGAAGATTTAACCTCAGAGTTCTTAGTCCATCCCTTTGTTCTCATATCTGCCGCAGAACAAGGACTTTTTTTATCCAGAACAGTACAAAAGACAGTGGCCTCGGCAGCAGGGCAGAGCTACGGACAGGATAGGAAGGGGGGTCAAAAATCGGACAAAAGAGCAGAGGAGGCTCTCATAATGTGTCAGGGTCAGTGGTTGAAGACAGAGGACAACACAAGCTTTCAGGAGAAGGCCAAAGACAGAGTTGCTCTAAAGCCTGCTGTACAAAGCTGCTGCAGAGACAGCCCAAGTCAAAGCTAGCAAGTTAGCATTCCTCTGCTAACAAAAGGAGGTTTGTGCAGCATCTATTGAGGAGTACAACCCACTAGCTAGAGCACAGCTGCATTGCTGATAAGACGCCTGTTGTAAGTCTACTGTATCTGCAGCAGTCCGAGGAGCAGCCGAGACATCATCTCTATTACCAAGCATTTGTAATAACACAATTAATTAAACAACTCACACTTCAGCAATATGAAACATTTATGGAAAAAATGATTACACATTATTATTTATAACAAAACCAGATGCAGAGAAGGCAATGTCAAGAGGACATCATTACACCTGGACTAAAATCCTGCCGATACAGTAAGATAACCTGTCCTGTTACACTTGCTTACACTAGGGTTGCCATTTTCTTGAAGCAAGGGACAGTATCGTGCTACAGATCACTCCAGCAACGTTCAGTTTCAGTGAAACGAGTTTACGTTTGCATTGAAAACAGCAGAAATGTTTGAACACAAAGACTAAATATGCTCCGCACCAGAGTATGCGGTAATATGACGTAAAGTGGACATCTTTAGCAGTGCAACAGAGCGTAATTCTTTTTTTGTTAACAATCCTTAGCAACAACGCTATTTAACCAAGATCGGCTTTATTTACTGGTGGACACAGCTGCAGTTATGAGAGGATACGAGCTACATGTGCTGCTGCAGCTATATTTGCAGCAGGCCCACCAGGGATCCTGTCTTTATCCACCTCTGATTTGTGTTTGTGTAATTCACAGCTCGGAGGGGGGTGTTTCATCTTCACTCGAGGCATCAGACGGGGCTGAGACTAAAGAAAGGCTGGCCTCCTCCCACTGCGGGACAGCGGTTGGCATGTCAACGGGCTGAGCCGCAGGTATGGATGCATACTGCACATGGAGCGGTGAAAATGGAAAACCAGCTATAAATACATGTCTGAGGACTCTCTATAACGCTGTGTACTGTACATTGAATAAATGCCTCGAGGCACACTTCATGCTTACTCAAATGCATACATGGATCCAGATTTTATTTCCATACGTTTCATCTTGTGTCTGCGAGTCACTCATTTGTACACCGTCAGGTTTACAGTCATGCTTTCACACCTTAAATGAAAATGAAATCTAATTGAACGGCGTGCTTATGTTACAGATAGAATACCATTTCTCCATTCTATCCTCATCCTAGGCGTTGGTCGTAACTGAAGCTGGTGATGTCTATAGGGCGGTTTCATGAGTGGCCATGTTTAGGGCATCTGTACTGCCAAGTGTTTTGGGCTGATAAACTGGTAAAAATGTAGAGGGAAAAGTCTCAGCTGTCACCATTACCTGTCCTTCTTCCAGTAAAAAAAAGATCAGTCGACCCTAATGTCACAGGTAATAAAGAGACATATGTAGATACTATAACACGGTCTTTTTAGATTTTGTCTGAGTTTCTTATGGTTTTCTTTAATATTAAATAAGAGGGCACTAGTATTACTGTCACAGCCTACTGTCTCACAGTTATCCCTGTCTGCTATCTGCAGGAAGTGCACACCACAATAACGACATATTTCTACAGCAAGGGGGCATGTTCATGTGTTTCAAGCAGGAATATTTGTATTCGTGACACATGTCAACATGTCACAGCAGCTACAGAAACATGTTTACAGGTTGGCTAAGGTTACTCTCTCGCCACACCTTTGCACAATGGGTTAACATATCCCAAACTTTCAGATTGGCCGCATTTTCCAAATAAATTGTATGGCAGCCCACAGCAGGCTGCACTTTTCTGCTTCTGCTGTGTCAATTCTGTGTGAGAGGGTGGCAAGAGATCTAGAGCTGCAAGAGAGTAGAATAGCATGACATATGATACCTAGCAGTCGAACAAAGTGGTCAGAGCTACACTAAGCCGGGGTTCACATTCACACCCGTTCCCACAGTCCACAAAAAAGGAGCTTTTTGCAACTCTATAGAGCTGTCACACTGCGCTCACTCTACACTTACGGCCCGTCCACACTACAGCTTCAAAAAAAGCTTGGAGCTCGGCGTGTCTGAAGCTCGACCAACAACCAATCACATGAATCTCCCGCCCCTGACACACAAGCAGCGGTTTGATTGGCTAGAGCTTGTACTGGCATATGATTTGATTGGCTGACGCTTCCACCGAAAGCTTCAGAAGCTTCAAAAGTTGAACATTGCTCAACTTTTGCAGCCTGAAACGCCAGGAAAGCTCCGCTCTGCTTCCCACAATGCAGTTCGGCGAAAAGTGACGTCACCCCATTCAAAGTGAATGGGCAGAAGCGTTGGAAACCGTTTTTGAAGCAGTCGAAGCTGTAGTGTGGACAGGCCGTTATTACAAGGAACAAGGATTGTACAATTACCCCCAAGGGCTGAGAACTGAGTGGGAAACATCAAATAGAGGCAACAAGTCCCGCCACAGTGCTGCTGTTCAGGGAACGCTCCAGACGTGCAGCAAGTGCCATTGTGCTAGGTGTTATTGGAAATAAGTGTACATAATCAGCCTTATACTCATTAATATCTCTTGTCAGCAGTATTATCATGAGCAAAGGCTACAGTGTGTTATTATATAAAAAGAAGAAATGGCTGGCTCTGAAACAAGAGATAAGAAAAAAGATGTATAAAAAGAGACAAATCAAACCGAGAAAGAGAAAGGCAGAGAGAAAGCGACAACTTGAAATAAAAATAAAAAGGAATTAAAATGCAGGGTTAAAAGGACATGTCATATTCCAGAGAAGGTGTTCTAAAATAGGGCAAGGTGAGAGTTTAACCAAAGGCCCATTTCTCAACTTGGCATATTTTCTGCTTTTGTTGAGAGAGAAGCCTGAAATGAAACATTTACACCTCAGGTTTACATTGACAGTTTCCTCTTTCTTTTAAAGGGACCTTAAAATAAACAATAGGAGGCAAACAAATCCTAACCAAAAAAAGAAGAAAAACCGTATCATCAAAATAAAGTCATAATCCTTTGTTTATGAACATCTTTGAATATATTAGAAAGCCTTGTCTACTCATGTAACCAACACAAGCGCAGTTCAAAGAGGAAAAGCCCTGCGTTAAACACTGAGTAGGCAAAAGCACACGGCCCCATGTAAATCACAACCTCCTGCGAAGATAACAACCATTTGTTATGCAAAAACCTGAGGCAGTGGGTTCAACGTCCTCTGCAAGCATGAGCATGTCACAGCGTCCTGCCTCTGTGGTACTCCTCACCTCTCTGCCCCTGAGCCCCACCCTCATCCGGTGGGGGGGGGAGGCGAGGCGGGAGCGGAACTCTATATCTGAGTGCGACTGAGTTGTGTGGGTTTGGGTGACACACATTTTTACAAGAGCTACTGTAAAAGGAGCAGCTTATCCACACACAACATGAGGAACAAAACCCCAGGCTAAAAGCACACTTAAGCAGTTTGTAGTTTGTTAAACTTCTAGAAATAAAGTTATATGACTTGAAGTAAAACACTCCTTTATGTTTAAGTGGCATAGTCAGTATGTAAGGGTCAGTGTCATTGAATTTGAGTCCTTTCTTTCAGAGGGCAGTTGCTTTAGTGATTAATGTTCTGCAACAATCTATTTCAAGTTCTCCAGAGGGAACATCTTCTGTTTGCACCTGCACTTATAACCTTGAATATAAAAAATAAAATAAAGTCATGGGCAATGTGTGTGTCTGTGTGGGTGCGTTCGTGTCATTTTCTTGATAAGCCATGGTCACAGATGGGAGCCCGGGGGCAGAATCATCGTCATGGTGACCCAGGCTCGAATGCCTCCAAAAAACCCGAGACAAACAAATAATGACGCTAATACAAGATTGGTCAGAGTTAGCCGAGATGAAGCATTTACGTTATCTAACATCAAATCTTACATTTGAGAAGATTTCGGTTACCGACTTTGACAAATGTCTTTGTCATGCTTCAACTTGCCCTTTTAAGGTTTATTACTCAAGGATACGGAGAAGTGTTTCACAATTCTGTGTGGGTGGTTTACACTTACTTGTGCATGTGCTCCAGGCCTACGAAGATCATCACACTGTAGGACAGACCACTCTGCACCAGGAAATGAAGGGAATACCTGCAAAGATACATACATTATTGAGTGACCTTATATTCAGCTTTAAACATTTTCTTGTCATTTACTGGGAAACATATTCCTTCTAACACACATGCCCATTCGTCATTCTGTATTGCAATCCACATCCTGATTCATCATCCCAAGGAGCCATTAGGAAGAGGAAACAACAGCATTAAGAAACCGCAGTTACACCATCAGTCATGTGTGTAACCAGGAATATGTCACCTGGGCAGGAGAGTGACGATCACCACCTCACCATGTTCCTAAATGACTGATTTTAAATGCCATTTTCTTAATGTCTTTCATTTTTTGTAAAGCACTTTGAATTGCCTTGTGTTGAAAAGTGCTATATAAATAAACTTGCCTTGCCTTGCCTAAATGACTTGCCTTCCAGATGCAAGATTCCATACATCGCACCCTTACAGAGACATGATTGTGTGTGAATTGATCAAAATCCGAGTTATGTTGACCAATCTCTCCCCCTGTAAAAACATACACACAGGCATGCACAAACACACAGTTCAACAGCTACCAGATGGGTCTTTGAAGGGCACAGTGTGTGATGCTACCAACGTCAGGCCCTCCAGGAGGCCAGAGACGCCACACTGTGTTAGCAGTGAGTCAACAAAGATGATGAGGGCATCAGGGGTTGGCAGGGAACAAGGATCATAAGCGGGTGAATTAACTGTGCTCAACAAATGAAATAATACAGTATTATCAGATGAAGGTAGAGGAAAAATATATCTTAAGACAGTATACATTCTGACAGGTTAGCCTGTATCAATTAACATGATCGTTTAGCATGTCTGCAAAAGTTCAATTGAGCTGAGCGCCAGATGACAGAGGAAATGTTTCAACTGTTATCTCCAGTGACATTCAAACACAAACATGTGCGTCTGATAGAGAGCGAATAGATCCTAAAATAAACCAACACTCTGCAACAGATCCTCCAGGGCTACAGCCAGGTGCCCTCTAAGAAAGAACAGAGCGTGTGCAACGAAGGTTTAAAACATTGTGTGTGTGTGTGTGTGTGTGTGTGTGTGTGTGTGTGTGTGTGTGTGTGTGTGTGTGTGTGTGTGTGTGTGTGTGTGTGTGTGTGTGTGTGTGTGTGTGTGTGTGTGTGTGTGTGTGTGTATCTGTGGGTGCATTCAAGCATTTCACACAAGCAAGCTAAACTGGCAGAAACAGTTTGGGATCCTATAAACAATTAACATCATGTGCACAGCTCTAAGTTACTGTAACCTTGCTCTGCTTGAGAAGTTTATCAAATAATTACATCTGTCTTTTTAAATCGCTCATCTCAACCTCTGCATCATGATATGGGTTTGTATTGTAAAATCAGAAACTGAAGTGAGATGAACACTATAATTCCTGTAATAGGTGTCTAAAATGAGTAGTTGGCTTTAAGCACTGCACCAGGCACAGGAAGTACCATATACAACCTTGGTTAGATGTATCTGCTTATAGAGATTTAAAGGAGCTGGTTCTATCTTAATTGATCTGGCACATAGAGCTCTTTGACAGGCTTTCACAGACACACACTTATTGATTGTTTGGTCCATTTGGACAAGGAAGATGTCCGGATAAATGGCATTTTTCAAGATGAGAAGATTGATCTGACATCAAGTTAGCAAGGCCATCACAAGAGTCCTGTGTACAGAATGATTTCATTTTTGAATTTCATATGTTGTTAATTTAAAAACATACAGGATATGTTGTAATGGGTTTTGTTTTTGTTTGAAAAAGAACACTATGTCCCTTTTCTCTCTCATGCAAACCAGTTTTTCACAGTGCCCATTCACAGCTCAGCGAGTACAATACAGTCATTTTACTTGTGTTATCTTACTAACTATGTTTCAGTTCCTTATTTGTACACATCTTTCTGCTGTATTGCTAAGGTATTGAAGGAATACGTCTACTGTATACCTAATGTTATAATACTGATAACAATGGGGTTAGAGAAATACTCTAGCTTTTAGGAAAATAAGCAGCCTAACATTTTGCATTTCACTTCAAGCATTTGAAGTGGATCAAATTCTGATGTCTACTCACATCAGTAAAGGACAAACCTCTTTAATGTTATCAGTTTTGCCTGACACTGTCATGAGACTCTTGAATGGAAAAATACAAAATAGTTTCATCTCTGGTTCAGGAATACATTTTTACTACATCACCTCTCTCAGCCACAACAAATAACAAGAACCAACCACGGCTCAGTGTCAGTTGCATAATGTACACGAACCGTCTGGCAGCGAGGTGATGCTAGAACACCCTATCACCCGATGAAAAGGTAACATTTCACCTGGTTAGCATTTTGGCCTATTAGGTGGAGGTCTGGCTAATGTTTCTGAGGTTTGCTATCCAATACAAACACACACTCGATGGCCCATTGAGAGGCACTTTGCCAGAGGGTTGTCTGTTACAGGGCAATAGCTTTATAATTGGATATCTTTTACTGCCCTATCGACCCATTTGCTTGGCGCGGGTGAGAGGAACGAGGACGGGGTTAGGGAAAATAAGGATGGGAAGGGCAGCGAGGGGGCTGGCACAAAAGGGAGGGACGGAGGAGGATGAGGGCAGACATGAAACAAACAAGGAAAAGGATGTCGGTTGATGACAGAAGAAAGTAACAGCAGACTCAATGGAGTGATTGATCATTTTATTTTTCTATTATAATGAAAGAAGTACTCCTCACATATTAAGAGTATTTTTCCAGACACCTATCTGCTATGACACTATAATAATTCACTATCTGTAAACTAATTGGTAGGTCAATAATAAAACTTAAAACTGTTAGCATACTGCTAACGCTAGCAAGCCCATTCTGAAAGACCAATGGACTTTACTATTCAGTCTCTTCAGATTTGGCCTTTTCTTAAGGGATTAAAGTCACAAAATGTGTTGTGTTTTGCCAAGGGTGTTATAATCGCTTTTGCTAAAACATATCAATACACTATAATGGCACCTATGTGTAAAGGAATATCATTTTCATAATCAATGACCTGCCAAAGCTATGAAATTAATAAATTAACTGAATAAATATTTGGCAAAGTCGCTTAATTGATTGTTTCCAAGTGCAGTTGCATTCTAGAAATGTATGGAATCACAAACTAAAGCAGAAGTGGACACGTCATTACACTTACTTATAAAACAATCATTTACATGATATGATATTTCATAAACCAATACTGAGATTAACAACATCCTTCTAAACAATTCAGCAGCATAATCGTGTATTTACAATAGCATGACATGAAAAAGGAAGTGTCAAAAGATAGTGATGAGAAGTAAAGAGCTGATAAACAGCAGAGTGACTCACCAGCCAAAGCAGAAGAGGGCCAGGTAGAAGCCCAGCAGAGTGGCCACCACATGTCTGATGAAAGGACTGGTCTTACTGGGGTGGAGGTAGAGCCGAAACCACAGAGCCATCAGCAGGGCAAACAGCTGACATGCCACAAAGTTAACCTGCACAGAGGGACACAGAAACAGTGTTACAGGTGGATGTAATCAGTATGAATCAGCTAGCCAAAGCTATGCCAAATGCTAGCATTGGTGAAACAAACAATAATGTTATCGGAGACAGCAAACCTCACAAGTGACCTCTATATGAGGGACATTACATATGGAGCATTGTGACATTTTTAAAAGAGATACATGGGGTATTAGCAGAAATGTGAAACAACAAGGTAAATACCAGATGTCCATCGCTTGGAAGTAGCATTACATGTCTCTTTCACTTTAATTGTTCCTGAATGGTCCCCCAAGGTAGGAATGTAATCACTGAGGATTACATTGCTAATTAAAATAGAATTGAAGTGGTTTTCCAGAGAGATCCAGGTTATGATTTTATATAGCAGTTTAGGTATGTATTTAGTCTTGGTAGCTAGCTAATGGCTTACTTCTTTCGCACATCTAAACATTTATTTCTCAAGGTCATTCACTTTTAGATAGAAAAAAATCCCTTATTAAAGTCTCTGCACGTTATCTATACTACACTGAACAAAAATATAAATGCAACACTTTTGTTTTTGCTCCCATTTTTCATGAGATGAACTCAAAGATCTAAAACATTTTCTATATACACAAAATAACCATTTCTCTCAAATATTGTTCACAAATCTGAAAGAAATCTGTGATAGTGAGCACTTCTCCTTTGCCGAGATAATCCATCCCACCTCACAGGTGTGGCATATCAAGATGCTGATTAGACAGCATGATTATTGCACAGGTGTGCCTTAGGCTGGCCACAATAAAAGGCCACTCTGAAACGTGCAGTTTTGCTTTATTGGAGGGGTCCGAAAACCAGTCAGTATCTGGTGTGAGGGGTAGGGTTAGGGTAATGTTGTGAATCGAGTGGCCCATGGTGGTGGTGGGGTTATGGTATGGGCAGGCGTATGTTATGGACGACGAACACAGGCCACTCGATTCACAACATTACCCTAACCCTACCCCTCACACCAGATACTGACTGGTTTTCGGACCCCTCCAATAAAGCAAAACTGCACGTTTCAGAGTGGCCTTTTATTGTGGCCAGCCTAAGGCACACCTGTGCAATAATCATGCTGTCTAATCAGCATCTTGATATGCCACACCTGTGAGGTGGGATGGATTATCTCGGCAAAGGAGAAGTGCTCACTATCACAGATTCTTTCAGATTTGTGAACAATATTTGAGAGAAATGGTTATTTTGTGTATATAGAAAATGTTTTAGATCTTTGAGTTCATCTCATGAAAAATGGGAGCAAAAACAAAAGTGTTGCGTTTATATTTTTGTTCAGTGTAAAAATCTAAAGATGTTGTATATATAAGCAAATGAGACACATTGTTAATTAAAGTATTTTCTCTTTATTCAATTAATGTGTTTTCTAATATAAGAAGATATGTAGATAATTGTTCAGTAATAGTATGTTGTAGTGTGCCTATACAACTGTGTGATGGGATTGCCAATTGTATAATTTGTATGGTCTTTACTTACATGGGAAGGTTTTCTCCAAAACACTCATATCAATACATTCCTTTTGTATTAACACATGTATTACTCTATCTGACAGGTCATAGTAAAGCTGGGTTGAGACCTTGTTTCATCTCCTAATGTCTCCAAATGGCACAGCAAAGAGGCTTTACTCCAGACAATAGTGAGATTGACTGATCCATCGACGGGAGCACAATGAAAACCTCTCTGTTTGATTAACACTTTTCCTGCGGGCCAAGTAGTACAAAAATATTTGTATAACCACTTTTCTTTGACCTCAATGGAAATCATTATGAGTTCAAGGAAATATGTAAAGTAGAATTTATAAGGACTGAGAAAGACTTTATTTATAACACATAGAAAATGAATAGTGACAAACTCAATGCTGGAGAAAGTAAGTAAGGATTCATTTTGAAAACAACTACTCCTAACAGCATTCTCCTTTCTTATAAAAAATGATGCTCCAGTGTTATCCATGTTAAAGGATATAAGAAATAAACACCTTTCCTCAGCATACAGAACATTCGTCCAGCTCTTATCAGTGCTGCCAATAAGATATTTCTACTTTAGGAACCTTCCTAAGTTAAAGGAATATTGGACCACAACTTTATCTCCTCCTATCCTAAATCATATGGAGTAAAAGGGAAAGGAGGAGCATATATATTATGTTCTATTGATCTTACTGGATTGTGTTATCCTGTAAATGTGATTACCTTAAGACTTTTTAAATTACCATCATGAGCAGGGCCTTCCTCTCTCTGTAGACAGTCTGGTTCATTATCGCTCACTCACATCATTAATACACAGTGATGTGTCTGTGACTCAGTGATGTTTGATGTGTCTTCCTTTTAATGATCTATGTGCCTCACATATTAATACCCCACATCAACATCATATATTAGGGCTGCTCAATTAATCGTATTTGAATCGCAATTACGATTTTGGCTTGCAACGATTATGAAAACAACATAACGGAAATAAAACGATTTTTTTAATTTTTTTTTTTTTTTTTAAAATTGGTTTTTTCAGTTGAATTATACTTAAAGTTCAGGGTAATCAACTGTTAAAAACATACTGTTCATATTTTTTTTTTCAATAAATGGATGTTTTCAAAGTAAATGGATAATCGTTTTTAATAATCGTGATATCAATTATTAACCCAAATAAATCGAGTTTTGCCATAATCGAGCAGCCCTAACATATATAAGCACAAAGTAAAAGCTTCCAGATTTATTTCTCTCTGCTCTAAGTGCGCCTTTAATCTCCCGTAACAAATTGAAATTACACACACAGACGTAACACACAAGGCCAATATGAGTAATTGCAATGTAATGCAACAGTCTTTCTAGTGCAATGACATCACCTCACATTTGTGGTCATACACTGTAAGCTCCTTTTTTTAAACATTTCTAAATGACAAAGTATTTCAAGGCTAATTAGGGACAAAAGAGCAGCAGGAAACGCATAGGCAAAACACGACTAATAGACTGAATACTGTAAAGGGTGAAATTAACACTCATCCACTATAAGCCCTTCATGTTTGTTTGATGTCACGCTTAGTGATGCATGTCTGAAAGCACAATGGCCCGTCCATGTAAATAGGTCATGTTAACACAGATCCGTCTGGCCAGTTCGAAGTGAAAGGCTACAGACACCATGAGCACCATCCATTATCTATGGATCCTGCATGATTAATGAGAGAGAGAGAGAGAGAGAGAGAGAGAGAGAGAGAGGAGAGAGATAGAGAGGAGAGCGAGATGATCAGAATGAGGAGAGCGATAGAGAGATATAGAGATAGAGAGTGCTGCTAGATAGCTCTGAGAGATGAGAAGAGATGAGAGTGTAGGGCCTTTAGTCTGTATGACTAACAGATGTAGCAACAAATCATCTGCAGCATTAGCCTAAATCACATCAGATGGCATTTGGAAGCGTATATTGGCGGTTTTGTGAACATGAATTCACAGGAACACAAACACAGCACAGCCTCCTTTGTACGGTTATTATCGTGGCTGGCATTGTTCAATATTTAACAAATAAACAACAAACAAACAAATAATCCAGCTGGAGTACCTACAGTTGCAAGAAGTTGTGAACCCTTTGGATTCTCCACACATAGCGTTGTGTGTTCCTTCCAAACAACTCAACTTTGGTTTCATCTGTCCACAGATAGGGTCGGCCACTCCTAGGGAGAGTAGCAACAGTGCTGAACTTTCTCCATTTATAGACAACTTGTCTTACCGTGGACTGATGAACATCAAGGCTTTTAGAGATACTGTTGTAACCCTTTCCAGCTTTATGCAAGTCAACAATTCTTAATCGTAGGTCTTCTGAGAGCTCTTTTGTGCGAGGCATGGTTCACATCTGGCAATGCTTCTTAAGAATAGCTAATTCAAAACTGGTGTGTATTTTTTATAGGGCAGGGCAGCTTTAACCAACACCTCCAATCTCGTCTCATTGATTGGACTCCTGGTTGGCTGACTCCTGACTCCAATTAGCTCTTGAAGAAGTCTTTAGCCTAGGGGTTCACATACTTTTTCCACCCTGCACTGTGAATGTTTACATGGTGTGTTCAATAAAAACATGAAAACATATAATTGTTTGTGTGGTATTAGTTTAAGCAGACTGTGTTTGTCTATTGTTGTGACTTAGATGAAGATCAGAACACATTGTATGACCAACTTATGCAGAAATCCAGGTAATTCCAAAGGGTTCACATACTTTTTCTTGCAACTGTAAATAAAAAAGGCTGAGCATGAACATGGTGCCACAGGAGATGAATGAAAAGCAAACAAGATCTAAGCTCTCCCCGGCCATTGTTTGCTAACAAGGTGTGTCTCTTTAGCTACAGACCTTGTTTCCATGGTATCTTAAAGCAAACTACCAGTCATCAGTTTGGCAGATATGGAACAAAGGCAAAGAACCCAACTGACACTTGTGTCAATGCATGCCAGTGTTTATTCAGACCGGCTGCTATATCTATCATTCAAACATGAATAATATACTGTAGTAAGCAGAAGGTCAAAATGAATCTCCTCCTCATTGTGTAAATAACTAGCGTTTTGCTGACTCACTTTGGGCAAACTCTAGTAAGTAACAAATCTGGAAAATGTGACCCAGGTTCAACTGCAATTGCCTTCCTCCAAAGTGCTACAAATAAAATATGATGCCCTGGTAATGACAACACGTCACATCAAATAGACCTCCTCTGGCTTCCCTTTTGACGTCAGCCTTATTTTCAAACAGCGCTTACACAATACACGCTTTGATTACTTCAAGCTGCTCTCTTAGTAAAAAGGACATTGCTATTTGTTTGAATAAAAAGCTGACTTGCCAACCTCTGCGTCCACACACTTAATGAAAGACTGGCTAATTTGCAAAACCAGCAAATACTCATATACAGTCACTGATTTATCAATGTCAAATAGTGAGATGGTTATAGGTATCAATCAAGCTTTGCCATGTATATTCATGTGCACACCCCACAGCAAAGAAA